TTTGGCGGTCGAAACAGAAGGCTTTTTATCACAGGAAAAGAAATCAGCCCTCGACAACTTAACCGGCAGAAAAAGATTTTTTTGAAAAAATCCTAAGCCCCGGGGTCACAATTTCATAAAAAATCTGACTTTCGGCAATTCACTCAAAAATGGTGCCAAACGGTTGCAAATGCTCCCCTGAAAGGTTTGGCGGTCGAAACAGAAGGCTTTTTATCACAGGAAAAGAAATCAGCCCTCGACAACTTAACCGGCAGAAAAAGATTTTTTTGAAAAAATCCTAAGCCCCGGGGTCACAATTTCATAAAAAATCTGACTTTCGGCAATTCACTCAAAAATGGTGCCAAACGGTTGCAAATGCTCCCCTGAAAGGTTTGGCGGTCGAAACAGAAGGCTTTTATCACAGGAAAAGAAATCAGCCCTCGACAACTTAACCGGCAGAAAAAGATTTTTTTGAAAAAATCCTAAGCCCCGGGGTCACAATTTCATAAAAAATCTGACTTTCGGCAATTCACTCAAAAATGGTGCCAAACGGTTGCAAATGCTCCCCTGAAAGGTTTGGCGGTCGAAACAGAAGGCTTTTATCACAGGAAAAGAAATCAGCCCTCGACAACTTAACCGGCAGAAAAAGATTTTTTTGAAAAAATCCTAAGCCCCGGGGTCACAATTTCATAAAAAATCTGACTTTCGGCAATTCACTCAAAAATGGTGCCAAACGGTTGCAAATGCTCCCCTGAAAGGTTTGGCGGTCGAAACAGAAGGCTTTTTATCACAGGAAAAGAAATCAGCCCTCGACAACTTAACCGGCAGAAAAAGATTTTTTTGAAAAAATCCTAAGCCCCGGGGTCACAATTTCATAAAAAATCTGACTTTCGGCAATTCACTCAAAAATGGTGCCAAACGGTTGCAAATGCTCCCCTGAAAGGTTTGGCGGTCGAAACAGAAGGCTTTTTATCACAGGAAAAGAAATCAGCCCTCGACAACTTAACCGGCAGAAAAAGATTTTTTTGAAAAAATCCTAAGCCCCGGGGTCACAATTTCATAAAAAATCTGACTTTCGGCAATTCACTCAAAAATGGTGCCAAACGGTTGCAAATGCTCCCCTGAAAGGTTTGGCGGTCGAAACAGAAGGCTTTTTATCACAGGAAAAGAAATCAGCCCTCGACAACTTAACCGGCAGAAAAAGATTTTTTTGAAAAAATCCTAAGCCCCGGGGTCACAATTTCATAAAAAATCTGACTTTCGGCAATTCACTCAAAAATGGTGCCAAACGGTTGCAAATGCTCCCCTGAAAGGTTTGGCGGTCGAAACAGAAGGCTTTTTATCACAGGAAAAGAAATCAGCCCTCGACAACTTAACCGGCAGAAAAAGATTTTTTTGAAAAATCCTAAGCCCCGGGGTCACAATTTCATAAAAAATCTGACTTTCGGCAATTCACTCAAAAATGGTGCCAAACGGTTGCAAATGCTCCCCTGAAAGGTTTGGCGGTCGAAACAGAAGGCTTTTTATCACAGGAAAAGAAATCAGCCCTCGACAACTTAACCGGCAGAAAAAGATTTTTTTGAAAAAATCCTAAGCCCCGGGGTCACAATTTCATAAAAAATCTGACTTTCGGCAATTCACTCAAAAATGGTGCCAAACGGTTGCAAATGCTCCCCTGAGAGGTTTGGCGGTCGAAACAGAAGGCTTTTTATCACAGGAAAAGAAATCAGCCCTCGACAACTTAACCGGCAGAAAAAGATTTTTTTGAAAAAATCCTAAGCCCCGGGGTCACAATTTCATAAAAAATCTGACTTTCGGCAATTCACTCAAAAATGGTGCCAAACGGTTGCAAATGCTCCCCTGAAAGGTTTGGCGGTCGAAACAGAAGGCTTTTTATCACAGGAAAAGAAATCAGCCCTCGACAACTTAACCGGCAGAAAAAGATTTTTTTGAAAAAATCCTAAGCCCCGGGGTCACAATTTCATAAAAAATCTGACTTTCGGCAATTCACTCAAAAATGGTGCCAAACGGTTGCAAATGCTCCCCTGAAAGGTTTGGCGGTCGAAACAGAAGGCTTTTAATCACAGGAAAAGAAATCAGCCCTCGACAACTTAACCGGCAGAAAAAGATTTTTTTGAAAAAATCCTAAGCCCCGGGGTCACAATTTCATAAAAAATCTGACTTTCGGCAATTCACTCAAAAATGGTGCCAAACGGTTGCAAATGCTCCCCTGAAAGGTTTGGCGGTCGAAACAGAAGGCTTTTTATCACAGGAAAAGAAATCAGCCCTCGACAACTTAACCGGCAGAAAAAGATTTTTTTGAAAAAATCCTAAGCCCCGGGGTCACAATTTCATAAAAATCTGACTTTCGGCAATTCACTCAAAAATGGTGCCAAACGGTTGCAAATGCACCCCTGAGAGGTTTGGCCGTCGAAACAGAAGGCTTTTAATCACAGGAAAAGAAATCAGCCCTCGACAACTTAACCGGCAGAAAAAGATTTTTTTGAAAAAATCCTAAGCCCCGGGGTCACAATTTCATAAAAAATCTGACTTTCGGCAATTCACTCAAAAATGGTGCCAAACGGTTGCAAATGCTCCCCTGAAAGGTTTGGCGTCGAAACAGAAGGCTTTTTATCACAGGAAAAGAAATCAGCCCTCGACAACTTAACCGGCAGAAAAAGATTTTTTTGAAAAAATCCTAAGCCCCGGGTCACAATTTCATAAAAATCTGACTTTCGGCAATTCACTCAAAAATGGTGCCAAACGGTTGCAAATGCTCCCCTGAAGGTTGGCGGTCGAAACAGAAGGCTTTTTATCACAGGAAAAGAAATCAGCCCTCGACAACTTAACACGGCAGAAAAAGATTTTTTTGAAAAAATCCTAAGCCCCGGGGTCACAATTTCATAAAAATCTGACTTTCGGCAATTCACTCAAAAATGGCCAAACGGTTGCAAATGCTCCCCTGAGAGTTTGGCGGTCGAAACAGAAGGCTTTTTAATCACAGGAAAAGAAATCAGCCCTCGACAACTTAACCGGCAGAAAAAGATTTTTTTGAAAAATCCTAAGCCCGGGGTCACAATTTCATAAAATCTGACTTTCGGCAATTCACTCAAAATGGTGCCAAACGGTTGCAAATGCTCCCCTGAGAAGGTTTGGCGGTCGAAAGAGGAGATCATCACATCTCTAGGTCTCCAGGGAGATCAGACGTCTGCAGTGAATTTCGATGACAAAAAACCAAATAAATATATTTAGCCACTAACTTGGTGAACTCCTGAATGGCATTGTTAAACTGTGGAACTCCCTCCCACAGGAGGCAGCATGGCCACCAACCTGAATGGCTTTAGTTTAAAAGGGGATTCGACAAATAAATGGAGGAGAGGACTGTTTGTGGCTACTAGCCAGGGCTCCCCCCCCCCGCCCCCCAGCTGGAACTCAGTTCCGGCACCAGGTGGGCGCCCTTGTCATTATAAGAGAATAAAGGAGGCAATGGATGAGCCTCACCCTGGGAAAACCTCCCTCCTGATCAAGGTGTCTCCGCTCCCCTTTTTATTGATGATAATCAGCTAAATAGTTTGAGGATCTATACAATTGTGTAACATGCAGAAAACAGCATTCTTAGAGAAATCAAAGACTGGAACTGAAGGAAGCTGGGGGGGGGTTGTGTGGGAAGGTGGGGGGAGGAAGGAAAAATGGGGGGGAGATAAGGATGTGTTCTGGATAATATGTTTTTTGTTGTTGTTGTTTCGTCGTTTAGTCGTGTCCGACTCTTTGTGACCCCATGGACCAGAGCACACCAGGCACTCCTGTCTTCCACTGCCTCCTGCAGTTTGGTCAAACTCATGTTCGTAGCTTCGAGAACACTGTCCAACCATCTCGTCCTCTGTCGTCCCCTTCTCCTTGTGCCCTCCATCTTTCCCAACATCAGGGTCTTTTCCAGGGAGTCTTCTCTTCTCATGAGGTGGCCAAAGTCTTGAAGCCTTAGCTTCAGGATCTGTCATTCCCGTGAGCACTCAGGGCTGATTTCCTTCAGAATGGATAGGTTTGATCTTCTTGCAGTCCATGGGACTCTCAAGAGTCTCCTCCAGCACCAGAATTCAAAAGCATCCATTCTTCGGCGATCAGCCTTCTTGATGGTCCAGCTCTCACTTCCATAGATCACTACTGGGAAAACCATAGGTTTAACTATACGGACCTTTGTTGGCAAGGTGATGTCTCTGCTTTTTAAGATGCTGTCTAGGTTTGTCATTGCTTTTCTCCCAAGAAGCAGGCGTCTTTTAATTTCGTGGCTGCTGTCACCATCTGCAGTAATCATGGAGCCCAAGAAAGTAAATCTCACTGCCTCCATTTCTTCCCCTTCTATTTGCCAGATGATGGGACCAGTGGCCATGATCTTCGTTTTTTTGATGTTGAGCTTCAAACCATATTTTGCGCTCTCCTCTTTCACCCTCATTAAAAGGTTCTTTAATTCCTCCTCACTTTCTGCCATCAAGGCTGTGTCATCTGCATATATGAGGTTATTGATGTTTCTTCCGGTGATCTTAATTCCGGCTTGGGATTCATCCAGCCCAGCCTTTCACATGATGAATTCTGCATATAAGTTAAATAACCAGGGAGACAATATACAGCCTTTTCGTACTCCTTTCCCAATTTTGAACCAACCAGTTGTTCCATATCCATTTCTAACTGTAGCTTCTTGTCCCACATAGAGATTTCTCAGGAGACAGATGAGGTGATCAGGCACTCCCATTTCTTTAAGAACTTGCCATAGTTTGCTGTGGTCGACACTGTCAAAGGCCTTTGCATAGTCAATGAAGCAGAAGTAGATGTCTTTCTGGAACTCTCTAACTTTTGAATAAAAAAAAAGTTTTTTAAAAAGAGAACAAAGGAAGCGTACCAGCTGCTGGAAAGCACGGGAGGAAGGGGAGAGGGCTCTTGGGCTCGGATCCTGCCCGCAGGTTCCCCCTAGGCCACGTCGAGCAGAGTTTGCAGGATCCCGCCAGGATCTTGCGCGCTGCCCCGTCCTTTGTGCGTTTTCTTGCGTCCTCGGCCGCTAGATGCCGCCGTCGGGGCTCTTTTTGGGCTCGACGGCGGGGCAGGACCACCCCCACCCGGAGAGCAGCCATCCTGGGGAGGGGGAGGGAGAGCCTTCCCACATTCTCCGAGATCTGGGGCAAAGCCGGGGAGGGAAAGACCCGGGGAGAAGCCTCCGGAAGCCGCCTCTCGCCTCGCAGACGGCGGCGATTATGCCTTGTCCGCGGTGCGAGGAGAAGCGCCGTTGAAAGGCGAGGAGGCGCCGAGCCCGCTGGGCATCATCTTCTGCAAACGGGGAGACCAGCCCGCTTTGCCTTGTGCGCGATCGTTCCCTGGGGTCTCGGCGCCGCGCAGCCCTGCATGGAGAGGGCGTGAGGAGGAGGAGGAGGCGTGCAAGTGGCCCGGGGCTCGCTGGATCCTGCCCCGCCATGGCTGCCCGCAAGCCGAGCCCCCCGCGCTGGGGCTGGCACGCTCTGCTCTTCGCAGCGGTGCTGCTCGCCTGCGGCGGGCAAGGCAGAAGCCGGGAGGACGGCGGCGCCGCCTGCTACGGGGGCTTCGACCTCTACTTCATCCTGGACAAGTGAGTGGCTCTCGGGGGCGACCCGGAGGGAGCTTTGGCCAGGCTCCCCACGAGCTCAGGGGCATCAAAAGGCCAGCAGCTGTCTTACCCCCCACCTCCGTTTAATCAGTATTATTATTATTATTATTATTATTATTATTATTATTAATTCCACCCAGGGCAGGTTGAAAACTATGTAACGCAATTTGCAATCATAAAAATAAGATGGGTCTTGAAAGCTCACATCTCAGGTGTCCCAAGGCCAGCAGAAAGAGGTTTTACTCCCCCCCCCCGGACTATTTCAGGTTCCTGTTGCATTTCTCGCTCTAGCTTATCTCGGTTTGAGAAATGTATACAGCAGCAGCGGCGGCAACAGGTCCGTTTTGCAGCGATTGCAATTGGGTTGGTGATTTGTGCAGAGGTTGCCCCTTGGAACGCTCTTCTGCCATTCCCTATGTGGCCAACCATGGAACTAGTGATGGCCACCGACCTAGATGGCTTTCAAAGAGGAGCGGACAAATTCGTGGATGAGGCCAGGGCTTTTGAGGGCTGCTGGCCAGGACTGCTCTGCTCTGTCTCCACAGTTGGCAGAGTGATGCTTCTGAATCCCAGTTGCTGGAAGGCGCAGGAGGGAAGAGGACTCTTGGGCTCAGGTCTTGCTTGTGGGTTTCCCGTTGGGGCATCTGGTTGACCGCTGTGAGAACAGAACACTGGGCTAGATGGGCCATTGGCCGGATCCAGCAGGATCTTCTTATGTTCTGAAGGGAGAGGTTCCCGTGTTTCCCCTAGCAAAGCAAAGTTTGGGAAACTTTTGCAAAGGAAGTAGCTAAGGGATGCTATCTTTTTGCCCTCCGGTGTTGCCACCTCTGTTTTCCCCAAGAGAGATGGAGAGAAACCTGAACCTTCCTCTCCTGAATTGATCCTCAGACTCTGGATGCTAAGGAATAAACTTGCGATTTGGCCAATGTGTTGGAAAGTGCAATTGTTGTGGCTTCTCCTCCCCCACACCCCCAAAGTACGTTTCTCTCCCTTTAACTCTGAGTCACTTTTTCTTTGTTCCCAGCTAATGAAATGCACATTTCCCCCTTTGCTGCTTTCTCTTGCTTAATAGTGTCCAGAGATGATATAAAATGCTTACTCATGTTATTTACCCCACAGCTGACTCGATGCCATTGTGTTTACATAAGAGGCTTACGGTTGCGTTTACAACATTTGTCCAGCTGTGTCGGTGCCCGAGAATAGAGGGACGGGACTTTTGGCAACATTAATAGAAGTAGGCATGTCATAAGATGGGGAGGGCAAAACCCAAACAAAAGGCCCCATCTAGGCCTGGGTCCAAAAAGCTGCTCTCACGGCCCCAAGAGGCTGGGCATGGGCCTTGTGGAAGTTTTAATTTTCCTTCCTCAAAGAGCAGACCCTTTCACACATGGAGCATCTCCTCAGTTTCAAAATAGGTTTGTTTGTTTATTTGTTGGTTATAAATATATACCCCCCCACCTTTTACTCCAGGAAGCTCAAGGTAGCACACCTGGCTCTCCCTCCCTCCCTCCTCATTTAATCCTCACAACAGCCCGGCAAGATAGGGTTAGGCTGAGAGGCAGTGACTGGGCCCATCGTCACACCTGGCGAGCTTCCTTTCTGAGTGGAGATTTTAACTCTGGTCTCCCAGGTCCAAGTCCAACACTCTAACCACTATGCAACACTGCACCTTGTGGCTTTCCAACGTGGTCTGGAGTGGGTGCACTCTGAGAAGGGCAAGCTCACTGTGGAGATCTTGCTGTCCCAGTCTTTTTTAAAATATAATTTTTATTATTACATTTTCATATTTTTCCTTTTTCCTTTGTCACATTCATATCAAATCATATCATCAAATGCAACTTTGCTCATACTGAGCCTTGACTTCCCCTCTTAGCATTTCTACATCACCCTGTTTACCTTCTTACTTTAAAAGTATTTGTAAATCAGTTTCAAAAATTATAATTGCAAAATATTTTAAATCAAACATGCAAACGTTCTCAAATGTTTACAATGTTCTTTCATATATTGTAAAAATCTACTCCAGTCCTTTTCAAACAGTTCGTCACGCTGGTTTCGGATCTTCCCCGTCAGCTTTGCCAGTTCTGCATATTCAATCATTTTTATCTGCCATTCTTCCAAAGTTGGAAGTTCCTGCTGCTTCCATTTCTGGGCTAAAAGTGTCCTTGCAGCCGTGGTAGCATACATAAACATATTTACGTCTACTTTTGGAATTTCTTCTCCCACAATACCCAATAGAAAAGCCTCTGGTTTTTTAATAAAAGTATATTTTAAAATCTTTTTCAGTTCATTGTATATCATAGCCCAGTAGGCTTTAACTTTACTGCACGTCCACCACATATGGAAGAAATTCCCTTCCTTCTCCTTGCATTTCCAACATGCCTTATCTTGAGTTCTATACATTTTAGCAAGTTTATAAAGGTAAAGGACCCCTGGCAGTTAAGTCAAATACCATCTATACATCATCTTCATTAAATTTTCCTTAAGTGCTGTACCTGCAGTAAATTTAATTGTTTTTGTCCATAATCTTTCCCACTTCTCTAATTCAATATTATGGCCATCATATTGCTGTCCCAGTCTTTAAAAATCTATTTCATCGGTCACATTTTTATTTTGCCCTTTTTCCGGTCAGAGCTTAGGGTGGCACAGGGGAGGGCTCTTACGTTCTCCTCCCAGCGAGGAAGGGCCAGGCTGGCAGAGTAGCGGGAAAGAGGGAGGGAAATGGGTCACAATCACCCACGGGACTCCGCAGGCTGGGATCCTTCCTGATGTGAGTCTCGTGTTCCACGTTGGCGCTCTTCTTGAGCTGGCCATTTTCACATTGAAAATGCTTCCTAAGAGCCATATGGCAAGACCCTGGACTCCTTTGGCCTAGAAAGGGCATTGGAACAGCCAAAGAAAAGAAATGGAAAATGGCCAACACCTCCCCTTCTGAATGTTGTCATTCGGTTACTGGAGCAATGGGTCTCAGCCGCCCAGCCTGGGGTGGCAGGAGAACTGGAGTGGGAGCGGAATTGCTTGCAGGCTGCATTCAAAGTGGTTCTCAAAGTGGACAAGCTTAGTTGCTAGTCCAGGATGCCAAGCCGAGAGCCCCCAGAATGGCCACTGGGGCAGAGGAAGACCCGCGAGGGAAACAAAACCACATGCCCCTTCAGAAAATGAGGAGAAAGCCGCTCCAGTTTCCTGCTTTAAAACGCAAGGGCTGCCTCCAGCTTCTTGTGCTGGCCGCTTTAATTTGGGTCTAATATTTCTTCTGGAGTGCCAAGTTTCATGGGATGGGGAAGGGAAGGCCACAAGGGTGATGAGGATTGCAGATTGCTCGCACTTTCTGAGAGATCAGAGTCGGGCCCGAATGCACTCTCTGCCAGGGAACCCAAAACACTTCCTGGGCTCAGTGTAACTCTGCCCAATTAATAGGGCATTTATTGACTATAAGTATGGTACGGTTGCATGGGGAATAATGCGTGCAGCTGTAGCCGCCTCACCTCCAGAAAGATATCGTAGAATTGGAAAAGGTGCAGAAAAGGGAAACCAAAATGATCCGGGGATGGAATAACTCTTTTGTGAAGAAAGGTGGCAGCATTTGGGACTTAAAGGCTTAGGGAAGAGGTGGCAAAGAGGCCACACGAGAGAAGTTTATAAAATTATACATGACTTTCGAAGGTTGTCAGGGGCCTAGTTGCTGCTGATTTTACTATTGGGTTGTTTAAGAGGGCATGTAATTGGTGGTGTGTTAGCCAGGGCATTTGGGTGTCTTCTAGTTTGTCTTGTATTTCTTGTGTTGATAAGGGTTTGTTATTTTTGTAGAAGACTGTTAGGCGGTATAAGCCTTTGGCTTGCCAGGTTTTTATCTGGAGGTTTTGTGCTGCGTGATGGAATAATGGGTGGCGTGCCAGGGGAATTAGTGGGGATGGGGTTGGGGACAGTTTACCTACTTCTGCTTTCCATACTTTAAGCATGGTCTGTGTGAACCTGTTTATTGTTGTGTGGATTTCCCTCGGTTTGTTTGGGAGGAATGGGTCTTCTGTGGTGCAGGTATTTTCAATTGTGTCCCTCTCCAGGTGTACTCACCTTTCCCCCCTCCACCTCTTTCCCCCTTTTCTTCCTAACATAACACTAATGTCTCAACAAATGAACCTGATCTGTAGAAAATGTAACTTGAAAAAACAACAAGCAAGAAATCTTTAATAAAAATATGTTTTTTAAAAAAGAAATTATACATGGCTTGGAGAAAGTGGAGAGGGGAAGGTTTTTTTCTTGCTCTGTCATAACATGACAGCCCACAGACATCCTTGGAAGCTGGAAGATTCAGGACAGGTAAAAGAAAGGGCTTATTTGTGTAGCACTTAGTCAATCTATGGGTGGCGCTGTGGTCTAAACCACTGAGCCTAGGGCTTGCCGATCGGAAGGTCAGCGGTTCGAATCCCCGCAATGGGGTGAGCTCCCATTGCTCAGTCCCAGCTCCTGCCAACCTAGCAGTTTGAAAGCACGTCAAAGTGCAAGTAGATAAATAGGTATTGCTCCGGCGGGAAGGTAAACGGCGTTTCTTTGCGCTGCTCTGGTTCGCCAGAAGCGGCTTAGTCATGCTGGCCACATGACCCGGAAAAACTGTCTGCAGACAAACGCCGGCTCCCTTGGCCTGTAAAGCGAGATGAGCGCCGCAACCTCAGAGTCGTCCATGACTGGACTTAACTGTCAGGGGTCCCTTTACCTTTACCTTTGACTAAAGTATGGAACTCTCTCTCATGCAGGATGCAGGGATGGTCACCAACTTTGATGGGTTTCAAAGAGGAAAAGGGCCATTGGCCTTGCTTTGCCTCTTCAGTTTGTAGAGTCTCAGCCACTTTGCCTGAGGTGGAAGGAGAATGGGTGGAAGGGCTTCTGGGCAAATGGCAGGTGATGGGCTCTCCTTCCTTGGGGGTTTTTAAGCAGAGGTTGAATGGCCGTCTGCCATGAATTGGTCTAGAGCAGTGGTGGTGAACCTA